AATGATTTAGGTTTTGTTTGGGATTTGGGCTAGGGTTTTAATAATTACCTAATTTTTGAATAAATAAACTTTACATCTGATTTTTAAAAAACAATATTTAAACACCTGATTTTTTTATAATTTCCCACCAAATTGTAGTTGGTCAAGAATTTTAAAACATTCAAGCATGCAGTAGTTGGAAAGAGGCCAGACACGAGTGGACTCTTTTGGAAACAATTAATGGACACTATTTTTCATTTATCTGCAGGCCATGAATTAATGCCACTTGGTGTCAATTATTCAAGTACTTCCAAAGTTTGATGTGTATATCCATTAACAAAACTTAGAACCACAGTCAACACTATGCTTAACTATTCATGACGTTGGTATTTTTTAATATACCAATTGAATTTACTTTTATGGAGAAAAATTATGTTACTAATTTTTTTTTTTTTAACTAACACGTTTGACAAAATTTTTAAAAATCGAAAATTTGTTTCTGAAGCTAAGAAATTGCTTTTATATATAGTTGGATAATTTTTTGAAAGTGTTTTGTTTGGTTAGATTTTTTTTTTTTTTTCGAATCTTAACCCATGTTTGATGGATATTAAAATAAAATTTTTAGTAGATTTTGATAAAGTTGATGAAATATATTGAAAAATTATTGATCCAATAAAATATGAAATTAAAATTAATTATTGACTTTAATTTTATTAAAAATTTAGATTTTAATTTTTATCGTGGCTTAATTTTTAAATTCAATCAAACGGGCTCATTCCATGCATTTAGCCTTGGATGTACGCATAATTGACCGACCCTCCGTTTATTCTTGTCTAATACGATATTCTCCAAATGAAATGAAGCCAGAATAAGAATAACTGCAAAAAAAAAAAATTCTTAGCCAAATTCTTCTTCCAGAAAAATTCCAATCTTGACGAGGGGCGCGCACTGTAAACTAAGAAAAATTACGAATATTCATTTAATATTATTTTGTGAATTAAATAGTTTTGTGAAATGTTTCATGCCTTATTTTTGAAGGAAAATAATGTGAACACGTTGTCACTATACCATTTCTATTTTGATTAAAAATCCCAGGAAAATAATGAATCATCTTTGACTGCTTTCTCTCGACTTTCCCTCCACGGATTCATTACACTACACCAAGCTAGTTTCACTATACTTCTAGAATAATGCTAAAACTGTCACTACTAAACTATCTAACTCATGGTCTTCCCCATAACTTCATTCAACCCTTTCAACTGTCATGTGAAAATACCATCGGAACTTCCGCTTTTCATTCTTTGTCGAAATGCTTTACTGAACTTTTATTGATTATTTGTTCATACTTTTAATCTGTTCGACACTCTTCTTCAACCATAGCTAACAAAATGGCTTTTCTGAAACAGTTTTTGTTTCTGCTGAAGTTCTGCTTCTTCATCAATTTAGTGCAATTTGCGAATTCTTCTAACAGGGATGCTGTAATTTTGCTCGGGGTCAAGAACAGTCAACTCGATGACCCATTAGGAAAACTCGACGACTGGGTCGGGACAACTCGGAATGCTCCTTGCAGCTGGAATGGAATTTCCTGTGACCCCCGCACTCTGGATGTGGTTTCCATTAATCTCTCAAGCTTTAATGTTTCTGGAAATTTTCCGGCTGATTTCTGCCGGATTTCATCCCTACAGAACCTCGATCTCTCCAACAACAGTTTAGTGGGTCCCGTTACGTCTGATTCCATCTTTCTCTGTTCTCATCTCCAGTCTCTCAATCTCTCTTCCAATTATTTTGATGGGAACTTGCCGGAGTTTTCGACGGAGTTTTTGAACCTGACCATTCTAGATTTTTCATTTAACAGTTTCACGGGTGGAATTCCTGGGACTGTTGTCAACTTGCCAAATCTCCAGGTTTTATCTCTTTTTTCGAATCTGCTCGATGGGTCAATCCCTGAGATTTTATCAAATTTAACTGAGTTGACTCGCTTAGAACTGGCTTATAATCCTTTTAGACCTAGTACACTGCCTGAAAACATCGGAAGACTGACAAAACTTCAAAACTTGTGGTTACCTCTCACTAATCTTATGGGAAAAATTCCCGACTCTATTGGGAATCTTGTTTCTCTTAAAAACCTGGACCTATCGAACAATAGTGTTACTGGAAAAATCCCAGAAAGCATTGGTGGATTAAAAAACGTGGAACAAATTGAACTGTATAAGAACCAACTATCTGGAGAATTGCCAGACGCATTCTTGAATCTCACTTCTTTACTTCGATTCGATGCTTCGGAAAATAAGCTTACTGGAGAGATACCTGAAAGTCTTGCAAGTCTGCCCCTTGAATCGTTGAATCTCAATGATAACTCTTTGGAAGGTGCAATTCCAGATGTTTTAGCCTTAAACCCGAAGCTTAACAAGCTGCATCTATTTATTAACAGATTTTCTGGTACTTTACCGGGCAATTTGGGTATGAACTCAGAATTGGAAGATATTGATGTTTCTAATAACAATTTGGAAGGCCCATTGCCTCAGAATTTATGTTACAGAAAGAAGCTTCAGCGTTTGGTACTTTTTAAGAATAGGATTTCAGGTTCAATCCCAGAATCATATGGAGATTGCAGTAGTTTAACGTACGTGCGTATTCAACACAATGAACTCTCTGAAACTGTGCCTGAGGGATTCTGGAGTTTCAGTGGACTTGAATTTCTCGAGATCAGTGATAACAAATTGGAGGGTTCTATTCCGCCTGCGATTTCCAATGCAGAAGGCTTAACACAATTAGTGATCTTTGGCAACAATTTTTCTGGCAATTTGCCTTCAGAAATTTGTGATTTACATGAGCTCGCTATTGTGGATTTAAGTATAAACCGGTTTTCTGGTGAGCTGCCTTTGTGTATCATCAATTTGACACAGTTACAAAGGTTTGACATAAAGGAGAATATGTTCACCGGTGAAATCCCGAAAACTATTAGTCTTTGGAGGGAGCTCACAGAGTTGGATTTTTCTCACAATCGGTTTTCCGGTGTAATTCCAGCCGAGTTAGGGAGTTTGCCGGTGTTAACATACTTGGATCTTTCCTGGAATTCGCTCTCAGGAGAAATTCCGAAGGAGTTGACTAAGCTGAAGCTTAACAAGTTTAATGTCTCAAATAATAGGCTTGAAGGGAAAGTACCACTTGGCTTCAATGCAAAGTTTTATCTCTCAAGTCTAATGGGCAACATGGATTTATGTAGCCCGGATCTGAAACCACTTCCTCCTTGCTCGAGATCCAAACCCGTTAGCTTGATGTTGGTTGGGATATTATCAGTACTTGCATTGATACTTACTGGGTCACTTCTTTGGCTCCTAATCAAGACCAAGAACTTTGTTACGTTTGGAAGTAAAAATAAGCAGTCTTGCAAAATCATCTCTTTCCAGCAGGTTGGGTTCAATGAAGAAGAAGTGTTGGCCTCTTTAACCAATGAGAACCTTATTGGGACTGGGAGATCAGGTCGGGTTTATCGAGTGAGGTTGAAGAGTGGATTGATCATGGCAGCCAAGAGGTTCTGGGAGGTGGGGCGGCTACCAGAATCCGAGAGGGTGTTCCAATCAGAGGTGGAGACATTGAGTCAAATTCGACATGCTAACATTATTAAATTGTTGTTTAGTTGCATGAACGAGGATTTCAAGATATTGGTGTATGATTACATGGAGAATGGGAGTTTGGGAGAAGTATTGCATGGGGAGAAGGGTGGAGTATTGTTGGACTGGCCTAGGCGGTTCGCTATTGCACTTGGGGCTGCTCAAGGGCTTGCCTATTTGCACCATGATTGTGTGCCCCCCATTGTGCATCGGGACATTAAGTCCAACAACATATTGCTAGACAAGGAATTCAGGCCGAAATTGGCTGACTTTGGTTTGGCAAAGACAATGCATCAGGATGGGGATGAGGGGGAGCAAGTCATGTCTCGCGTGGTTGGCTCTTACGGCTACATTGCACCAGGCAAGGCTCTCTGTTCTTTATCTTATAGCCATTTTCTTAACTGAAATGTATTTTAACTTGACTTTATGTTGCAACAAAAATGTGAACATACTGTAACAAATTGTAGATAGCTCTAGCATTCCTAGGATGACATTGACAATGCACAAGATATTTACTCTTGACATAACAAATTGCAGAATATGCTCACACGATGAAGGTTACCGAGAAGAGTGATGTGTATAGTTTTGGGGTTGTGCTACTGGAATTGATATCCGGTAAAAGTCCTAATCATTCCTCGTTTGGTGAGAACAAGGAAATTGTGAAGTGGGCAACAGAGACTGCATTTTTATATCCAGAACAAGGAAACGAAAATATTGATGGCAGCATCAATATTGTTTGTTTGGATCAGATATTAGACATTCGGCTGATTCCATCTGCATTTGAATATCAGCAGGTAAATAGGATTCTGAATGTGGCTTTATCGTGCACTTCAGAATTACCTGCAAACAGGCCCTCCATGAGAAGAGTTGTCGAATTACTCAAGCTCCATCCCTCAGCTCATATGAAGTAAATCTTTTGGCAGCCAGTAAAAAATCGTGGTATTGTTTGATCAGACTAGTTAGGATCCCTGGTACTGAAATGTTTTTATTAGTGCGGTTTTATCTGTTAATGTTTTTCATGTTTGCAGAGTCGATTTATCAGAGAATGTAGTTTCTTGATCTGAAGTTTTGAGCTACGTGAGGAAAATTTATCTATAGGTTTCTATAAAGTAAGTTGAAATGTTGGAAGTGTGATGAAATTATGTGACTACTTCGCATGTTGTGATTATATTTTTTCAATTAGTACTTTTTCTTGACAAGAAATATAAACGAGTGTATGGATAAAATTGTAATGTGATTGAAAAGAGAGGTAGTTTAAATTGAAGATTAAATGTGGATAATGTGTATCTCATGTCTGTCTATAATTCTTAAAATATGTCGTGCAGTTTCGGTTGAAAACGAACTTTAAATAAATTATCCCTTCTTTAGAGTTTAAACATTTAGAGGAAGCGATTCAATATTGCATGTATTTGTGCAAAAGTCAGCCAAGTTATGACATCAACCATTCATAAATATGAAAAATTTATCGAACGAGTTAAAATTACCAAGAGGACGAATTTCAATCTCTTGTTAGTTTTATTCTTTGGTTAACAAAATATAAAACGCAATCCTTAGAATAATTTGATATCATGAGGACAAATTTGAGACATGGATGTACGCTTCGAAATGGAAAAGCGCAAGCTTGGATGATCGCTGGAGTAGTCCAAAATTACATTGCAAAATAACACTCCAGACAAGATGTAGAATCTTAAACACTGGCCTAAAGAAATGGCTCCAATACGTTAAATTGATTGAATAGCTAGGCAAAGTATATCTGCAATATCGACACTATGCGTCAAACATTTAACTCACGTTGTTGGGTATACGATCAAAGTCCCACATTGATTAGATGTGGGGATGATCATGAGTTTATAAGGATGGACAAATATCTCTATTTTGGTATGAGACATTTTGGGAAAAAGTCCAAAAGCAAATCCATGAAGGCTTAGGCCCAACACACGTAATGATTCGTCAACAGATATAAGACTTGGTTAATATCTGCCTTCACAATTGGTAAAGGAAAGAAAAGAAAAAAACAAAGAACATAAAGCAAAATCCTTCGTGATTACAAATCATCGACTGAGAAAATATTATAAACGTCACTTGGCAACTGCATCATGGTTGTTACCTTCCGTTTCAGAGTCTGGAAGAGTTCCCAGGTCGATGCGAGCTTCTTTCTCTTCTTGAGGAAATAAAGAACTGGAGGAATTGTTTTCATCATGCACAGCAGAATCAGCATTTCCATTTGAGCCTGGAGATGCCTCCTCATTTGATGAGCTTGAAGTATCCGAAGAATCTTCAGATATATTTTGGTTTGATCCCATACCATCACTACCAGCCTTCTGTTGTTCGACTGGGTTATCACCCTCACTTCCAGCTGACGTTGCAGAATTGTTTTCCGAACCTTCAGCTGTCTTCGTATCTCCATTTTGTCCATCAGACACAACAGATTCTGTGTTGTCAGAAGAACTTTTTGAATCTCCATTTGCCATGTTCACAGTCTCGATTGCTGAGATTTGATTTGAATCAGAACCTGATTTCTCATTCTCAGCATAGTTTTTCTCAGCTTGCTCATTTCGTGTCCCATCTTCGTGAGGAACAACGTTGTCCGGTGTTTTGCTTTCTTTTTGAATGGAATCAGAGGTAGAGTTATCATTAACTTGATCTTGTTCCTTAACTTCAGATGCTCCTCCTGAAGAATCAGGGTTATGTCCTGAATCTGCGTGTTCATCACTTGTTCCTTCAGTGGCCCCCGCATTAGAATTATTTTTCTCAATTTTCCCACCATCTTGGTCATTTGAGCCCACTTCATTCTCATTTCCATTGGTTGCCTCGGAATTATTCTTCTTAATTTCCTCTAACTCGTTTTGTTCCGTGTTTTCTGATTTCTCCTCCCCACTTAAATCAACATTGCTAACATTCTCGTTTTTTTGAGAATTCTGAACCTCGCCAACAGAGACGTTTTCTCCCTTTGGATTCTCCTCCCTCACCTCATTACTCTCGTCAATTCTGTCATGAGTCTCACCCTCAGAGGAACCTAATTTGTCAGTTCCACCACTTTTTTCCTCCTCCGCTTTGTTGTTTCCTTCCATGTCTTTACTATCTTGTCCATTGTCCCCACCATTACTCTCTTCTGTCCCTTTATTTTCACTTTCATTCTTCTCGTCTTGTTTATCTCCCTTATCTTCAGTCCCGTTCTGTGTTTCTTCACTTGCTTTCTCCTCCTTTCTCTCGTTCGCTTCCTCCATTTCTTCATTTCCCTTCTCTTTGCTCTCCGTCTCTTCCTTTGTCTCTTCATTTTCTACCTTTTCACTATCCTTGTCAGTTTCTGCTTCGCCTTTTTCCTGATTTCCCTTTTCTTCATTACTCACCCCTTCATTTTCATTATTCATGCCCTCGTCTTCTGTCATATCATGTTCTCCGTTTTTTACTTCACCTTCTTTATCCTCACTTCTCTCTCCACCATGTTCTTCACTGCTTCTTTCACTCTCTTCTTCCCCAGTGTCCTTCCCTTCACCATCTGATCTATGGCCATCTTCATCCTTCTCTTCAGCGACTTTCCCGTTGCCATCTTCAGCCTCATTATTTTCCTTCTCCCCATTCAAATCTTCTTTTTCTTTCTCAGTTTCCTCTGTCTTCTTTTCTCCGTTTACAGAAGCTTCTCTATCCTCACCTTCTTCTATTTTTTCTCGATCTTGCCCTTGATCCTCAGGCTTGTTACCATCATCAAAGTGCGTCCTCTCCTCTTCTTGCTCTTCTTTCTGCTTCTCGTCTTCAATGTCTGTTTCTTCATGCCGAGGTTGAAGATCCTTTCTCCCCAACTTGTTGATAACACCGTTCCCATCCTTTACCTTCTCTGAAATTCTTGTCGTTTCTTCATATGATGCCTTCTTGTTACGGGAGTGCTGCACTTGGTAAAGCAGCCAGATGCAGACTCCAAGAACTACACATAATTGGAGAACATGCTTCACTTTAAATCCTTTGTTTCTCTGGTTCCGACGAGGTGATTGCTTAAACATGATGGTTTTCCGTAAATCTTATCTCGTATGCGAGATTGAATTAATGCCTAAGAAACTCAAAATTCCAAATGTGGTCCAAGTTCTATCAAATAAAGAGATAAAAATGTCAAAAACAATTCTGTATGAGAAATTCGAATTTCAAAAGTAATTTGCAAGAGCAATTAAAAAATCTCAGAGAAATTAACCTAAGAACATGAATAATTGGAAATATAGTTGCCATTGTACTGTTAAGTAACCCACGATCTTAAATTAGTAAAGGGCATAGACACAGATCAAATCGGCCTCAGTAAAATCAGAGAAAAAAACAAGGTAATTACAATAAGAAAGGATAAAGAATGCTAAACCCCCCCCCCCCACAAAAAAAAAAAATTAAAGTAAAAAAAAAAAAAA